TGGCCGCTAAATTCGAAGAGTGGATGTTTTTTCCCCTCTTTTTTAGAGCCGACGTCGATAGCCGTCTCGCGCAGTCCGTGGGCGGTGGCGGGGAGGGTTGCGTCTTGACGCCTTGAGAAGGGGTGACCCTTTTGGCCGTCGCTAAAAAGCAATGTTCTGCGCTTTTCCAGTAAGTCAAGGAACACCCTATAACCCCGACGGGCAGCCGATGGGAGGTTTCGTGATGGACGGCCAGCAGCACATGGGCATCCGAGCGCCAGGTAAGCCCCCGCGGGAGCATCGCCCGCCGATGGGCGACCTCGGTCGCGCCACCGCAGGTAACCGCACCTCCGCCCTCCGCCGTCGTCTCCGCTGCCTGCCTTGCCTCGCCTGTCCTCTGCCTGCCTTCAACACCGCCGAGGGAAACCAGGCGTCTTCTCGCTCGAGTGGTCCTGGGCCCTCTGCCACGCTGTGGTTCGGAAAGGGGCTTTTGGCACTATCTGTTGACTTTGCTCATTCTCTGGCATCTTCTTGGATTTTTATCTCCCTCTAGGACCTATGAGTGGAATGGGCATGAATATGGGCATGGAGGGGCAGTGGCACTACATGTAACCTTCACCTAGGTAACCAATGGCAAAGCCAGGGGGAAGTAAGTACAACCGGGGTCTTTGTTCTCGCTTTGTCCGAGGGATATTTTGTCTCCTTGCATTTCCCTATGTTCTCCCTGCCCATAGCCTCATGCTTGTTCCTTCCTTTTCCATCCATCCATCCTACGCCCGGGCTCCTTCGGGTTTCTCTCCCTCCGGTTCAGCTCAAGCTTTCCAAGCTCCCGAACCCCCCGTGCGCGCGCGCCGTACATTGACGCCGCCGCACATAAAAAAAACGTTGAGGTTGTTATCCATCCCCGAGCACATGACAAAACAAGAAGCAGCCGGGGAGGTGGGGGAGCCCGTCGTCTTGGCAACAGACTGATTTGCAAAATGTAAGCGGTCTGCAGCAGCGCAGGGAGAGGAAAGAGCATGTCCCCAAAGTGTCATAAATCTGTCTAACCGCAGTTGATGCATGAGTTACATTTCTCCCGCTAACCTGCAAGACACCAAAAAAGCCAAACAGAGACTTCTCGTAGGTTAAAAAAAAAAAAAAAGAAAAAAAGACAAGAAACAGCAGCTTCACTTAGTTGTGTTTTGGAAGGCGACGGACGAAACTTTGAATTCCGCCCCCCCCCCCCAAGTTTATTTCTCTTTGTCTGTCTGTCATAATGGGATTACGTGTGGCAAAGGAAAAAGAGAGAATACAAAATAGAGGTGTGCGCAGCAGGCTATGGAGCTTAGCCCGGGCTAATTGACTATATCCAAATTAAGTATGCCATCACTTGCAGTGTGACAAATGGATTTGACTTATTCAGTATACAAAAATAGAGATCATTAATGCAGTCTTCAGTGGCAGGCCTTGTGAAGAAAGCCTAGAAAAACTGTCCCAGTTTTTTGATTTTTTTTTCCCCCCCCTCTTGTGTTTTTATAGGGGAAAATACATTATACAAATTTTTGGGTTTGGTGTTTTGTTTTTTTTTTTTTTAGAAAAAAGAGTAAAGCAGTTTGAAACACGGAGGCACCAGTACCATGTTAAAGTGATGCCTGATTCTGTTCCTCTCGCTCTCTTTCTGGAGTGAAAAGCCGTTATTTCGGCATCCTTGTTGTGCCCCCCGCCGACATGAACGTAGGGTTTGAAGTTCCCCGGACCAAGTGTATTTCGTAGTCCTCTTCTCTGGGCGCGAGTCAAAACCAAGTTTTAACAATTAGCTGTGAAAACATTCCTCTGAGCTTGGGAATGCAACAGCCTTATTACCTCATCATGGAAATTTCTAGCTTAGTTAATTTAAATATTGTTTCTTAGTTTCTGGGTCAATTAAATTTAAATGATGTATTTTATGCTTCGTGACCAATTAAATTAATAGGTTATTACAAAAAATATTATCATCTTTTTTGATTAAAGAGCTGTGAGTACAGTATATTTTATAAGCAATTTTCATTAGTTCAAAACTGTTCCTTTAGGCTAGATTAAGCAGCTATTCATTGCTAGAGCCTTGAGACCTGATTCCAAGGTGTTCGGCGCATTCACAGCGCGCTCTTACTTAGAACTAAAGCCAATTGAACCTACTTAGCAATAGCGTATGCCTTTCACCCTTGATGATTATGGAGCTTATAGCTCTCCGAAACAATACACCTGTCAGTTCCCATCAGCTACAGCAATCCAAGCAGAAGGCAGAGGCCCACAGAAAGCAGGAGGTTTTATTGTTTTAGGACCAATTTTTTTCTTATTGTTCTCCCAAACCCACTGAAAGGTTGACTGAGTTGTGCGTCTGATTTTTTTCGGACTGGAGTGAGCTGGGGGTGGGGGGGGGAGAATTAATTGATGGCTGTTATTGACGATATGTATTTTTTTCAAACGTGTTTAAAAATACAGGTTTGATTTAACAGTCGTCCTTAGTAATCCTATCAATTTCAGCTTCATACGAGGCCTTTGTTCAGCGATGTATGTGCTTGCTGTATAGCGTCTGTTTGAATGGCACAAATACTTGGGACGGATTCCAAGTGATCGGGCTCACGAGCTAAATAAATAACTGTTGATAGACCCCGACACCAATTTAACCCGTCTCTCCTCCCAAGCCCCTCATTAGCTACTACCGATCCCCTGCCCTGTGTTCCCGGCGCGCGGGGATTCGAAGGCGGATGGCTGGGGCAAGGCCACGGGGGACGGAGCCCACCTGAGAGCCCTGGCGGGGCTTCCCCGGCGCGGTGCCACCGCCCCGCGTGACGTTGGTCGTCATCAGCCTGGCTCTGCCTCCGGCCTCCTTCCCCATCGGAAACATCTCCGTCGCCAACGCCCCTAACCGTAAAAGCGGAAAGCCGTTTTATCTCCCCAAACTCTGTACCTGGAGATGTGGGGTGGGGAGGGATGTTCTTGGGGTGTGCTTTTTGAGCTGGGAGTCCTTCCC